GATCAAATGAATAAATGAATAAATCACCGCGATGGGTCGAAGTAAAGGGCAAAATCGTCGATTTCCATTGAACAAATATCTTCAGATTAAAAGAAATCAAGACATTCAACTTACTTCCGCCCTTGCGAAAGACAAAAATTACGTTGCAAAGGCAAAGAAGCTGAAGCGACTCCAGTCAAAGGTAGGATATAAACAACTGATTATGATTGAATGTTAACTTTACTATAAATTTTTCTGTTTGAACTGTTTGTTTAATATGAGAACTTAAGTTTCGGTTTTATTCTTTTAAACACTTGCTAGGCAATGATTATTGACGAGTCGTTTGAAAGGTTCAACGGGGATGTGGAATTAAGAGCTAAGGTTAGCCAAATATTATGCTGTTGTGTTTATTCTGGAATGTTGTTGATATGCTCTTATTATTTTGCTATACTGTGCCACTAAAGTACATTTAACATGTAATTATATTCTGAGGACCATCACTTCCTAATAATTAATATTAGAAATAAGTCGAAACCGATAAGTTCTGTACTTTATTTATTTAATATTTATTTAATGTTTATTTCTATTGTCATATTATATTATATTTTTGTACCTGCTTTGCAGGGTAAAAATGGAGAATACAGTGGTCGCTTAATAAATAGCAGGAAGCAATCTCCAACCTCTTTGACTGAAGTTGGCAGAATTTCTGGCCCTGAGCCCAGTTCTAGAAGGAGGTGCCAGGAGACTATAAAGGTTGCCCAAACTCTCCATGGAGCAACTCCCGACAACATGCTTCCTGCCTATGAAGGCATCATTGCTGCCCTCAATACAAATTGTTCAGTTCCAGAATTAACCAATATGTTTAGGAAATGCCCCAAGTTTTCTGAAAAGGTTATCCCAAGGGTTGTGAAAGATAAGATAAAAGTCTTTGAGAAGAGTGATGCCAACTTTGTAAGAAGTGTTAATGTTCTGTACAGGGGGGGAATTGCAAGTAAACAAAAATACATTTCAACCAGGTCATCCCTCTCAATGTGTGAGAATGAAACTGGCAAGGGGAGAAAGCATATAGAGTTTATGAAGAGGATTCCAGTTCCTAGATTGCTTACCTATCAGAAATTAATGGAGAGGGTCAAACAAATTGATATTGGTGAATTACACGATGTGCGAGAAATTCTGTGTCATGGGCTTGGTGAAGAAGACAAGGTAGATGGAAAGTTTAGAAACCTTCTTCAACTTTTGCTAAGAATGGCTAGTTTTTACCTCAATGCAAACAAAAACAGAGTAGATAAGCTATGCTGGTTTGGGGAGGGTGTAGGCTCATTCAAAGTTGCTATTGGGGGGGATGGAGCCCCATTTGGTAAGGATGATCAAGCTGTAGCTTGGCTTGTGAGTTTTCTTAATTGTAGGAAGCGTGTTTGTAGCCCTGCAGAAAATTTTTTGTTGTTTGGGGCAAATTGCTCTGAGGACTGTGAACCTGTTCGTAGATATGTAATTCTGTTGACAGAGGAAATGACGGCCATTGAGGGGACTTCATACCCTTTAGAAGTAGATGGTAAACAGGTTAGTGTTTCCTTTCAGTTTGAACTATTTCCCAATGATATGAAATACTTAGCATTTCTTGGGGGTGAACTTACCATCTCTGCATCTTATTTTTCTCCCTTTGCAGATGTCTGTAAGAGTGAAATTAACTGTCTCAAAGGAACATTTGGTCTGACATCTGACAAGAAATGGAAACCTTGGAAATACAGTGATTGGTTGAAAGTAGCTGATGCAGTGGCAAAAAATAAAGAGCAATTAGTTAATTCAGCATTAAGGCCAAGCACAAAACGAGATAAGATCACTTCTCTCATTTCCCAGAAAAAATCCAGGCAAGAATTCCCCCCTCTTGTTGGTAAGTTCATTGACAAAGCTAAAGTAGAGCCACTCCACCTGAAAAATAATGCATGGCAACACTGGAATTTATCTGTGTTGAAGTATGCACTGTCACGTAGTAACCTTGGCAGTTGTCAGTCAATTCTTGATGTTCCTACCGACAGTTGTTTTGGTAAGTATTATCATAGTATACGATTTGTAGTGAAAGCAACAAGGTTGGCCAAAAAGGTGAGAAAATGGTTTGCTGATGGAAGAGATAAAAACAAAGATCTGGACTATAGATTTACAGGTAAGGAGTCTCGCCTCTTTTGTCATTATTTTATGTCCATTATTCAAAATCTTAGGACTGACTCAGACCATCAGAGTCGTACATTTCAATTGCATGTGTTTGCCTTCACAGCAATAAATCTCAGAGATGCAGTTTCCCTTTTTAGCAGGGTTTCTCTCTCAAATGAACAGGTTCAGAGTCTTCAGCAAGTTTGCTCTAACTACTTCAGAGCTACAGCACTCTTTCTGATAAGTAAGCCAACCACCTGGACAATTGGTCATGTTGTTCCCCTTCATGCCAAACTAATTCACCAAAAGCTGGGGATGGGCCTTGGCATTAATACCATGGAGGGAAGGGAGGCCAAACATGTTACCTTGGCTAAATTTACTCATAACACCCAGTTTAGTAACAGGTGGACTCAAGTTTTCAGACATGAGTATGTCTCACAGTTTTGGTTACGGGAGAATGGGTGTGATGAAACTGTGCATAAGGACACAGTGGGGTTGTATGTACCTAAAAGGTGTAGCACACCACAATTTTGCTATTGTGGGGAACCCAAACAGGTTGCTGAGCAGCAATGCATGTTCTGTTGTGACCCACTTAGGGACATAATTTCTAAATGTGTAGTGGAAGGGAAAATAACAAATGCAGCAAAAGGAGTGTTAGATCATTAAATTAAGATTTAGTCATCATTTGCTCCAGGTTTTCAACAATACGATATTATCTTTGTATTGAGATCTAAAACTGGAACTGGTTGGCAATGTTTATGCTCACGTGGGGACCAGGATGGGGCATGTCATCGTGAGCAACTATAAGTTGTGCTTGGGTCAACTCCAAATATAAGTCACCATGATCTTTAGCCATATTTAGCCATAATAGATTTATATTTATAAAATTTTTATGTTAGATGCATGTGTATGTGTATGAAATCATTGTTTTATTCTGATCATAAAAAACTCCTGTGAAGGCAGTTTCCATTTCAATGAGGGAAAGAGAGATATATCTGCAGGCATATAATAAGAACCAAGCTGGGCAGGAAAAAAATGAAATCCAGTTGCCCAGTGGGCCAGTAAAGCATTACTTGTCCAATAGAGGTGCAATGTTCATGCCTTATCAACTACATCATTTACTAGGTGATGTCCATGATCAGTGATGGACTTTCAACTCATTGTTTTGTTCATCTTGCAGTCATAAGTTTTGAAATAATTTTTGATTAGAAATTATCACTAACAAGACTACTGAGGCTAATTACACTTGCATCACTTCCCATATTTTTACTTCCAAATTTACTTGTCCCAGGCAATTGGACCTAGGTTTTTTTCATACCCTGCCAATAGTTGAAATTTGTTTATTATAATAAGAACTGGAAGTTAATGTAATTAATAAATTCTACAGGGGGCTATAGCTGTACATTGCATACACTGATATTAAATGAAATAAACAAAGGGGAATTTGTATTCCTTCAAAAGTGATGCAGCAACAAATAAAGTTATTATTATACCGACAACATATGTAAATTCATTGATGCTGGGGCCAACCATGCTCATTCCAAAACCCATAATAAAAGTCAATGGCTATGATCTCCTTTTCATAGGAATACTTGATCCCAAATTGCTTTTCCTCGGAAATAATCGCTTCTACCCGCTTGTCAGCCTTTATTTTGCGAGCTAAAAAATTTTCTTTTCCCAGCTGTTGGTCAGTTAGGTCGTTAAACACCTTTCTCACGCGCCTCTCTCTTGTAAAAGCAAATACACAGTTCTTTCTTGTCTTCACAGTGATAAGGCCAAAATTTGTGCGGCTTACCAAACTCTCAAGCACGTTAAATAGCTCTATTGGCAATCTATCTTCCACGATGACTTGCCATGGATGCTTTACAGCACATCTCGGGGACATCCGACGTTGGAACTGTTTTATCCAGTACATCGCCTGTCTTCGGACAAGTGGAAACAAATCGCCAACAATATGTTTCAAACCGATTTGTCCACGGCTTAAATAGCGCTTCGAGACCGCTTCTGCCAACATTTTCATTTCTTCAAAAGCATCCTTTATGTCTCTCTGGTCGATTCCTTTCGCTCTGAGTTCAGCTTCGGCAATGTCTAAAGCGTTTCTTACAGTGTCTACAAATATGTTCATTTTGTCCGCCATCTTTGTTCAGGTTTGTTTAACTTTGGAGCTGGGCCGCTGACCCAAGTCACCCAATACTCGCGCCGGCTGTTCGTGGCCGAATTTGACCTACTTTTTTCCCAGCGTGGTGCTAATCGTAAAATACCCTTTTGTTCTGACACCATGTTTCAACATATGGATGCCATTAGTCTGTGAACAAGGAACGATCTTTATTGACCAAACATGGTAGAACAACTAACAACTGGAATGCGTGACAAACTACACATTACGATGTCACGCTAGACTACTTATTGTAACAGAAGCCATGTTGCATGGTGAGAAATCGAAGCATGCAATGCACCGTAGGAAATGAGTGGGAAAACAGGCTACGTGGTTACGTGTCCAGACCAAATTAGGTAAATAACTAATTTTGTGCTAAATTTCAGTTATTTATAAATAACCAATTTGCAATTTGCAGTCACTGGAAAATATCAAGTTTCAGTTAGTTACAAACAACCAAATTTCATAACCATTTTTTTCAATATAATTAATTTTCAATTTCTGTTATTTATAAATGACCCATTTTCAGTTTTAGTTATTTCACAAATAACCACAATTATTTTTGGTTATTTAGCAAATAACCACTTTGCAATTTTGGTTATTTACAAATAACCAATTTTCAGTGTTGGTTGTTTAGCAAATAACAACATTCATGTTTTGGTTACTTGTTAAATAAGCAATGTCTTGTTATAAATAATCAAACTGCAACGTGGTTATTTAGATATAACCATACTTGTTTTGGTTATATACAAATAGCCACTCTAAATAAAAATACATTTGGGGCCCCATAGAACATGAGTTGTGAAGCGGCGAGAAATAAAAACCTCTGGTTACCTTGGACTTCAATTTCACTTTCATGCAGATGCCAGGATCAGGATCTGACCCTCGGGCTCAGATTGGTTGATATTTTTACAAACACATAATCAATATGATTGATTTGTTCAATTGGTAATACTGAGGGGACGGTGGGGATATTTATCACTGCACTTCTTGAGGTAAATTTTGCCTATCCCTACCAGGGAAGGAAATTGTTTGCAAAATACTTCATAGCTATCAGTCCATTCTCAATAAGCCGTTCTCAGTTTATACTCGTTTAAGATTCACCTGTGTTTGACATGGATTATGTTTCTGGAAGTGTCTTCAAAGAAATTTTGACCTGGGAACTCGAGGAGCATTTTCCAGAGATTGAAAGTCTCACCAAACATCAAAAGAAAGCGTTGCTTGCAGTCATAAATCGCAAGGATGTGTTTGCCATATTGCCAACTGGACATGGAGAGTCAATTATATTTCAGTTGCTCCCTGATGTCTGCAAATACCAGTACCTGTCAGAGTATTCATACCCTCACCATGACATAATTTTGGCTGTGTCCTCTGAAGTCTCTGGTGGACTCTCGTATCCACGAACTGCAAAACCAGGGCATTTCAGTGGCCAGTTTTAGCAGTGAAGATGTCAGTGAGAACAATCTGCTCAAAAGGAGCTTATTCCTTTGTATTTGGAAGTCCTGAGTCCTTGTTACAAAAAAAGAAGTGGAGAAACATGCTCCATAGTAATGTTTATCAAGATGGAACCTTTGCAATTGTTGTGGATGAAGTTCATGCCGTTCCAAAATGGTAAGCTCGACCAATGCCACATTATTTTTGTTATTTAAGCTCAGTGATATGATATCACCAGGAAAGCTTCAATTCCACAAGGATCATTTTCCCTCATTTACTTATCCTATATCCTGCTCCCAAGCGTTTTGTTAACCTTGTTGCACAAAAATTTCATCAACGTGCCAAGCAAAATCTTGTCCTGTCATAATAGTGAAAAAATTTTTGAAATAATCTGTACAGTATTCAGTCATATTTTGGCAGCAGAGAATCTTGACCTATCGTGTGAATTGAAAGTTATTTTTGACATAATCTGTGCAGTAAGCTTATTGAATGCATATCAGTATTACAATGAGATCGTTGTCATTTTTTGGCAGCTCTCTGAAATTTAAATATAATAAACAATTTCTTAATGATCTGACATGTCTTATTGTTTTTTGCTTGTTTAAATTTCAAATTTTATCAATATTTAAAATTATTTTTAGGGGCTTTGGTACTCAATCCAAAAAAGAGTTCACTGGAGCATTTACAGAATGCTTCTTAAGGCTCAAAGAGTTAAGATCCCTTGCACCTCAAAGGCCACTCACACCAATGTTGGCACTGACAGCTACTGCTACCCTGAAAACTCAAGAATCTGTTGAAAGATCACTTTGCGTAAGCCTAAGTCCAAACAGTAATAACATTTATATACAAGAGTGGAGTTACAACTGAAATTGACAGGTCATTTCAATGGCTTGTTGACAAACTAAAAAGTGAGAAGATTGCTGTGGATAAGACCATAAGCTACTGCAAGTCTATTAAAGATTGCAGCTGTCTTTTCATGTTTTTTCAAGTCCCAGCTTTGGGAACAAGGTTACTAATCTAAAAAACCTCAGCAAACTTACTCTTTGGCTTGTATCATCATTCCACATTAGACAAACAAAAATCAATAATTCTAAATTCATTTCATGAAGAGAAAGGCACTGTCAGACTTGCGTTTGCTACACGTGTTGTTCCCACATGTTTCAAGGCCTCCCTGCGAGCTACAACTGCGACAACTTTAACTTGATTTTGAAGCGAGAATGCGAGATATTGAGGCAAAAATGTAGTAAGATTCATTAAAGCAATACTTCTTACGCTTTTGTAGAAAAGAAAAAGGTTGGATACCTACAAGCCTTCAGCTAGTTGCGACAGCCTTGAATATGCACGACTGACCCGTGACTGTAATTTTTCAACAAGATGAGAAAAGGTGCTGAGAAACTACAAGCCACTTTTCAGCTTACTGCAAAGGTTTATTTATACTTAGTGTAAAGTTACAGTTGATTAATTTACAACTTGATTTCAAAAGTCAGTTTCACTGTTGTTGTTTTTTACCCCTGTTCAACCTCTTGCTTGCAATAGTTTAAAAAACATCTTTTTGGGGTGAATTACACTGGCTGCTAGAGAATGTATTTTAGTTTCCCTAGTGGAAGTCAACCAACTTAAGCTTGGCGATGGCATGGTGGTATGATGGAGATGCAACAAAATTAAAACAAGGCCTTTTCTCGCCATGACTGCTTCGCAAGGTTAAAATTGTAATGCACATTCCACGACGCGGGCCTGGCAGCTTGGCCTATTTGAATTGCACGGTGGGAGTTGTATTTCAATTTTAACTGAGCCAAAACAACCACAGGTAGCCCAAACTATTGACTCGTCCCCAATCTAGTTGTCTTCTGCAACTTCATACAGCTCACAGAATGAAGCGAGGTGGATGCACAGGATGAGATGTGTAGGGAAAAAGCGATCATGTGACCTGTTTTACTTTGTATCTCTTAAACGATTCAACACTGTCAAACTTTCCGTCCAGAATTGTATAAGAGACAATAAGACAATTGCTAAAAGGTTTCAATTCATATCCGTTATATGGCAACTCACCATACCATTTTCAATTTCCTTTTAAACCAATCAGACATTGCTAACGGGTCATGTGACCCATCTAATCAACACCTAAAACCAAAAATGACTTGAGGTCATTATGCATAATGCTGTTACAAAGTTTGAAGGTGTTTTGGTAAATGGCTGAAAAGTTATGGCTGTTTTCAGATTTTATAGGTTTCCTCCCTGTGAAACAACAGGGTACTTAAATAAAATATTGGACGCAAGGAAAGACTCTTCCCGACAGCATATTGATTCTGTGCCATTCACAAAATAAACCCTGTGATGTGATCCATATCCTCAGTGTTAAAGTTACGCAAATGTAAAGATATTCAAGAGTGTTCATTTATCATTTATGACACAATGACAACAAAACAAATCTATGGAAATACCATCTAGACATGTCCTAGAACCTACATTAGTTACATGTATTGGTAAGAGCATTTTCAATGTGAATACGCATGAAACTTAACCATAAACCTTGTGGTGGTTACTCTATTAAGAATACACAATACAGCCAGCTGAAATAAAAACTTCGTCGGAAGGGTCGATTCAGTTGCCAGAAGAGCAACGATTCCTGGGCATTTTTAAATCCTTTCTCATCACGTGACGTAACATCAGATAATGCTGAAATTGCTCTATTTGTTACGAATGGCCACATTGCCTTGCAAAGCTCTTTTATCGTACTGCTGTAATCCAACAAAGTTGAAACTAAAACAGCTGTATATTAGATAGACATTTAAGGTACGCTGGTATTCATCCAACGAGAAAATGGTCTTCTTGCTGAAACCATCTTCAGCGCTATCAGAAAGCTATACAGTCACGGTACCCAGCAAAGACAGTCTAAGTGCAGCTGCTTCCTTTTTTATCTAGGTAACGTAATTATAAAATGTCTTGCGAATTTGTCTAAAAGGCTGGCTCCTCAATGTATTTCAGACAAAAGGAATAATAAATTTGGTAACTCTTTTGTTGAGAAGAAATATAATTTCTCCAACATTTTGCCATGCCATAGTCTGATTTAAGCTAGTGAAAATTTCCAAGAGTTTGCATTATTAAGCAGTTCAACCATCTGTGATCTAAAGTCTGGAAAACTTTCATAGCCACTGGAAGGGAAGTCGACTATTCCTGACCAGGCATGCACCAAAACATGGGGCAGATTTCCCACCTGCCCATGAAAAATTACTTTCATAGTTTCAATGACAGGAGAGGAACTGTCTGTTACATAACAAAGCAGGCATGCCACTTCTTTTTTGTTGAGGCTTCTGACATACCTCCTAAAATACATGTAAACGGTTTGCTGCCCCTTTGTCATTGCATTCAGGTTTTCAACAGTAATTAGGTTGAGAACTTTCTCATTTGTCACATTCAAAGATATATAGAGATCTAATACTAACTCTTTTGTGGCTGGAAGCCACAATTCCCTGTGTACTCCCTCTAAGATGTCTTTCTTGATGGCTCTGCTGCCATCACAGCTTTCTTCCACAGCTCTGTTTTGGCAACACTTACTAGAATTGTTTCTAGGTTATTTGCATTTGTCATTTTACTGACACCAAACTCTGACAGAAATTTCAAAAGGGAATCGATGTTTTTGTCAGAAAGACTGACTTGAGAATTACATTTTTCAAGAATCTCCAGGAGTCTTAAATTGTCATAATAACTTACGTAGTCCAAAAACCCCTCTAGGAAATCTGGGTCGCTAACATTTTCAGTTCCAGTAAGAAGCACAAAAAAAACTTTGTTAAGCGAGGGTGGAAACACCTCAACCATAAGAAATCTGTGACTCAGAATTCTGCCCAATGTGGTGTACGTAGTTTCATCTATGTCTGGGGAAATTCGTGGAACGTAACTGTTTGCTCCCTCAAAATATATAGGGAGCACTTTTTTCCCAGAAGAGGGTAAATACTTCTCTCTTTACTTCATTGAAATCCAGCGTGGGCTCATTTAAGAAATTTAAATTTAAAAGAAACTGCGTTACATTA